TATATATCTATATATATATTTTGAGTCCCAGAAATAGTGCATCTTACAACACAATATCTATACCATCCATTTTCAAGATTTTCATATATTTATTGCTCTACTTGATTTTAACCCATTTTTAAGTTTAAAATTCTATAATTAGATATAAAAATATATTTTGAGATAATCCTAATAAATTATTATAAATTACATATTACGATAAAATTTGGAGGTGCACCATAATTGGATTGTTTTAACTCCTTTGGGATTGCCCTTGGACTCCATACTCCCTACTCCCTACTTCCAAATTCCATCCTCCCTTCTCCCTAGACCACCCTACACCGAACCCTTTCATACTCCCTAGATTACCTTAGACCATACTCCCCCATACTCAGCCATCTAAACCCACACACACTATACTCCCTAGTCATTTTGACCCATACACCCTAGTCACCTTGATCCACCTAGGCTCACCCATAATCAAACCTAGACCCCACCCCTCTACTCCAAGGTTCAAGCCCACACTAAAGAACATTATAGGGATCATCGTGCATGCACATAGCCGCTCGGCTCGAGCCAACACTCGAGCCTAGGTACCCGGTCTACTTTCTCACTCTTCTCTCTTATCTCTCTCTCTTCCTTCTCACTCTTCTCTCTCTATTATCTCTTTCTCTCCCTTCTCTCTCATATCGTCTCTTTTTCTCTCTTCTCTCTTTCTCTCTTCTCTCTTCTCTTTTTCTCTCTCTTTTTTTCTTTTTCTCCCTCTTCGTTCTTTCTCTTCGTCCTTTCCCTCTCTTCTTTCTCCCTCTTCTTTCTTTCTCTCTCTTCTTTCTCACTCTTCTTTCTTTCTCTTCTCTTTTTCTCTCTCTTCTTTTTCTCTTCTTTCTATTTATTCTCTTCTCTCTCTTTCTTCTTTTATTTATTGTCTTCTCTCTTTCTTTTTTCTCTCTTCTTTCTATTTATTCTCTTCTCTCTCTTTCTTCTTTCTCTCTCTTCCTCTCTTTCTCCCACCTCTCTCCCTCTCACCGGCCTTGCTCTCTTTCCCTTCCTCTTTCCCTTTCTTCTCTCTCTGCCTCTCCCCCTCTCCTCTCTCCCTCTCCCTCTCGCTCTCGCTCTCCATGGGTCGTCTTGGGCCTATACCTCCCCCTCTCTCTTTCTCTCCTCTCCTCCCTCTCTTCTCTCTCTCCCTCTCTATGGGCCCATCGGGCTGTGCCTCCCCTCTTTCTCCTCTCCCCCCTCTCTTCTCTCTCTCCCTCTCCATGGGCACATCGGGCCCGTGCCTCCCCTCTCTCTCTCTCCCTCTCTCGACTTTCTTCTCTCTCTCATGGGGTTGCAGCAAACTCGTGCTCTCCACCTCTCTTTCTTCCCTCTCCCTCTCTTTTCTTCCCTCTCTTCCCCTCTCCTCTCTCTCTTTCTCCATCTCACGGGCCCATGCCCTTCCTCTCTCTTCCTCCTTCTCTATTTCCCCCTATCACGGGCCCATAGTGGGCCTGTGCCTCTTTTTCCCTTTCTTTCTTCCCTCTCCCTTTCTCTTCCTTCATCACTCCTTCGTTTTCTTCCCTCTCTCTCTTCCTCTCCTTCTTCTCTCTTTCTCTTCTTCCTTCCTCTCTTTTTCTGTCTCTCTCCTCTTTCCCCTTTCTCACGGGCATGCAGCCTCTCTCTCCCTCTCCTTATTCTCTCTTCCTCTCCTTACATCCCTCTCTCTTCATTCCTCTTTCTCTCTCTCTCTCTCCTCTCTTCTCTCTCTCTCTCTCTCCTCTCTTTCTCTTCTTTCTTCTTTCCTCTCTTTCTCGTTTTTTCTCTCTCCGTCTCGTTCTTTTCTTCTCTTTCTCATCTCTCTTCCACTCTCTCTCACTCTCTTCTTTTCTTTTTTTCTCTCACTTCTCTTCTCTCTTTCTCTCTCTCCTCCTCTTTCTCTTCTATCTCCCCTTTGAGTATCTTACTCATCTCTCTAATTTGGACACCCTTCAGGAGGCTCTTTGGGAAGCATCTCTGAAAAGGCTTCTCCAGGGTACGTCTTTATCTCAGTCTCTCTCCTTTTTTCTTTTTCTTTTCCTCTTTCTCTTCTATCTCTCTTTTGTGTATCTTATCTACCCCTCTAGCGTGGATACTCTTCGGAAGGCTCTTTGGGAAGCATCTCTGAATGGCATTGTTTGCAAACCCTATTTTTCCTTAATCCTCCAGAGTACCCTAGACTCTGATTAGAGTCATGAGGCTGTCTCCAATATTCTCGTTTATCTCCTTAGAGACGGGACGTTGAAAGGCTGCCTATGTTTTGAAAGGCTTTTTTCTCTCTCTCTTCCTTTCTTCCCCTCCGCCCTCTTCTCTTTCTTCTTCACTTCTTTCATTTTTCTTTTATCTTATTTCATCTATTGATCACCTCGTTTTTTTGTTATCTATTAGGAGGCTCTTCGGGTAGCGATTCTTGCCAAGCTAAACCCGTGGACTCCGCTATGTTGAATCCTTCGGCATACTTTGGCCTCAAGCCTAGTATCTTTTTTTACTCCAGTAATGCCTATTAGTAGAGGTGACGTCAAAAGGCTGCCCAATTTTTGGGTCGATTTGTCTTTCGATCATCTTCTATTCCTTATCTCTTCTCTCAACCCCTCGAACCCCTAGATTAAACCCCCAACCTACTATAAATTCCCATTAGGAGGTAACCCAAGAAGTATATTCCAAAAACCATTAACAAGTGGATATAAGGTTGTATAATGACGCAAGGGAGGCAAATTCAAATCGAACTGCAGAAGTTTACAATATGCTACTGCAAGAACATAGATGCACACTCTTCTTTTAATTTGCACATTTGAGCTTGCCTCATTTCTAAGTATGAGAATTCTTAGGAATGAGCTCAAGGCTAGATGACCAGAGTAGTAGTTTGTTATTTTATGATGCCTTGAATTTTATTCTTATGATGAGTATGGGACTTAACCCCCACTGCTAAGTGTGATACTTCTCCAAAAAACACAGGCAATTTTAGCCCCATAACTGGTACGACAAACTCAAGCAGCCCATAACCAAAGTAACAATGAAATTAACACCAAAGTCAAAAGTGCAAGCGACAACTTATAGGCCCCCACCATTCTTGAATGTCCCTGGATTATCCAAGAGCAAATATGGACAGATTTTGCAATCTTGGAAGTGATCACTTACATGAACGTGTTATTTCCCAATACATAGCCCACGATTATTTGGACTCGAATTCTTCACCTTTAGTAATGAAAGAAGTTTAGAACTAAAGTGCATCTGAAAAACAATCGACAAGTTGCTTTAATGTTAAAAAACTTTGCAGTTGATCGTCTTAACCGCGAGATGAATGAATACGAATTAAAAAAAAAAAAATTTAAGTCCTACAAATACACATTTTGTAATATATTAACCGGACTATTAATTTTTATGATTTTTAAGTGTTTATATATTTGCTTTATTCGCACCATTGAGTTTTAAAAATCATGATTAAGGTGAATTAAGGTTCAAATAGATTTTCAAGCTATTGCAAAAACTTTCCGCACTGAAATTGCAACTTCCGAGTTGTAGGGGCCCTTACTTTTATTTATTAAGGTTGACACCTCGTGCAAACTGCATCCTTTAATAATTCATGAAAACATAGATATTAACAGGCAAAAACTATATCTATCACCACATTCCAATCAATTAGTTGTACAAATGTAGTCATATTCCAACCAAATAGTTTTACTAGATGGGGTGGGTGTGGGGTCGCACTCCAACCTCTTTTCATCACTTTCAACAAATTGATCAGAAAGTGATGAGCCTCATGACCACGTAATCCACCTAGTCAAGATGATCACCATATATGGACCCCAATCTCAAAGCATCAAAACGTTTTGTTGACCACTATAAAACAAATGGGAGAACCTTTCTGCAATGGATTCCCCAACCATATATAAACGATGTGCCTGAGGACTCATTTGATTGAAGGAATAGCTTGTCACATGATGTACCGGACCCTAATGGGCGTTTGGGCAATCAGGGTTTGCTGGTCACATTTCTTAGTTTTCGCTCAGCCATCACGGAAACCTCTAGGCAAAAAACATGTTAAAGAATCTTAAAGATGGACACAAAAAGATCGCAAAACTCGCGGGAAACTTCACCACAAACTTTCAACAACTCATTCAAAAACATCATCCAAAGCACAAATTCATAACTTTGAAATCGGAGACCTTGTTGCCTGATTTCCAGAGCTCAGCTTTTTATCAAAGTAAAAACTCTGCTTAATCATCAGGAAATAGAGATTTTTGGGTGTAAACCCATCCAAATTCAGCTTCTTGGCAGTTGGATCTTTTCCCGTTGTCCTGATGAAATAGAGAGAGTATTGAAAAGGACTGCATGAGTGTTTCGTATGGGATTCGAAATTGCCGGCAAAGAGCCAATTCCCAATGTATATTTTTCTGCAGGTATTCATCCAAGCCATCCGATCGAATTGAGTAGCAAGAAGCCCCAAGAAAGATAATTTACATTTGACATTCTATACTTTTAAGACCATTCGCTTTTTGCTTAGGAAGGTCACATTCACTTTTTAACCATTGGATGCAAAATCCAACATATTCAAGTATGTCACATCCGAGAAACAAATTTTTGGACTGTCTCCAATCAATGACAATCCCCAACCACCTATTTTCACATCTACCTGTCAATAATGATTGTTACCTCCTTTTTATCAAAGTAACGTATTTTTTTGTATATTTTTGCTTTATATTTTTATGAAAGTAATGTATCTTTTTGTATATTTTTGCTTTATATCTTAAGTGGTTGGGTACTCGTGGAAAGTTTTCCCTAAACAAATACTTAGTTTTGAGGGATTCTTTCCTACATTGTTAGCATGGATTTATTTTATTTTTTATTTTATTTTATTTTTTCAAAATAGGTACGTCTCCTTAATTCAGTTCAGTTATTGGATCCCTCCAAGATCCAGGACTAAGAAGAAACTAAACATACCTATAAATGCCCCAAAAGCCAAACCCAAGACTTAAAACTAGCCTGCTTCACATCCAATATATTACACAATATACTGGTAATGTCCCTCTATATTGGGATTTTCGGAAAATCTTGTCACGACATCAACAGACCATGGATGACATCTAGTCATCCAAGGCATTAAAATTACAGAAGCCAGAACACAAGAAATCTTGTCAAAAATTTTATTTTTGTTTGAGAATAAAGATATACTCAAGGAGCCCACAGAACAGGTGCCTGTGGTTGAATACTCGATGCAATTAAATCCTGGGTTCTGCCAGAAAAACAAAAAGGCAAGAAAAAAGAAACAGGAAAACCGATCCGACAATGTGCCGGATTGCAAGACCAGGCCTTAACTTTTAGGAGTCAGACAGGGTACTCATTTGTTCACTAGTTATGATGAAAGTGCCTTCTCGACTTCAGTAGTGACTTCTTTGGGAGGTTTCTCAGCATGTACCGTAGCAACAACATTCTTCTTCGAGTAGTAATTGATAACCTGAAGATTAGAGAAGAAAAAGAATGAGACCTGATGTGAAAAATCATATTCTAAATGATTGAGCCTACAGTCTAGCCCCTTGATTGTTGCACACTTCTAAAAAAAAAAGAAAGAATGGTAACAGAGCACCGAGCACTGAGTTTTGAAAGAGAAAAAAACACAGACGTTTCATATAAAATGCCATGATAGGTAATAATATTCAGCTAGAAGTCAGCCATAAATCAATGCATTAAGTTCAAGATCCAATAAAGTTAAATAGCCTAAGTCACTGGCTGTACCTCGCAATACCTAAAATTCGATAAATGAGAATAGCACTAAAGATGATCAAGGAGTCATTTGGGGGCTTTTCCAATTGGTCACTAACGGTTCACCGCATGGATACACTTCAACAAATGACCTGTAAATGCAGATAGCATGCACATCTCCATTTAATATATTATGGACACGTTCTCAAGGAACCAATTTTTCCATAAAATAACCATCCCTCCAAAATGTCTTAGTAAAACTCAGATTATCATGATTGCTGACGGAATCAGCAATCAGCAATCACCCAAAGGAGACATCAAAAACAGGAACTACAAATTCTGTAAAAGTACGAATTGCCAGTTATAAATAGACATCACATTTAAATGGGAAGACATACCAATACAGACATCACAAAGAAGCATTTGTTTAGTTTTAGACAGAAAAATCTAAAACTAAGCCTAGATCAAAACTAGAATTTCCATAGTGTGAAGATATTCCCTCATCAAGAAACTCTACCAAAATATCCAAGACAAGAAAATATCACATGAGAGAAACAATGCTATAGGACACCTCCGATGAAATTTATACTGTCAGCAAAAAAGTTCTACAAGACATCATAAAGTTGAACTTAAGGATCCAGGAAAAGCTGAAAATACACATAGCTATAGATTTTGTAGGTCACATATACCCAAGGAACATCACACAAGTTGCATAGGTGGAGAAGTAGGCCTACAAACTACTCGAGGAATTGAAGCAAGTCAGCATCCAAAAAGTTGATGCTGTAAATCAATGTGCCTAGAGGTAATATGACAGAACATCAACATCAACATGAAGTAGATGAGGCATTTTTAGGAAGGCAATCATCAAATTACAGTAAACCTCAACCCGAAAATTGATCTCTCTCAACCAATGTTTAGCTTACTACATATAAATCTTGTAGGTGCCTTTGATTAAGTAGGTCACAATCAGAGTCACAGCTCTATGGAGCTGGAGGAAACTACGAATGGCAGAATTTTGTTCTCCTTCCCTTGGCAGCAAGAGCCTCCCAGGTTGCCCATGCACCTCTTGCTAACCTCATAGGAGCCTCCTTATCTCTCCCCATGGTCTCTAAACCTCTGGGCTTTTAGAACCCATAGAGTTAGGCTGAGTCTTAAACATTCCCCTTCACGCCTGGACCCCCCACACCTTCAAGCTCATTGCCAACTCCTGCGGCAACCTCGTCGCCATCCACTGGAAATCAATCGAACAACTCCCCTTGGGTTCTATTCAATTGTTGATCGACGTTCTCGACCCCCAATCCATCCCCTCGTCACTATGGCTAGAGGTGGAAGGCTTTCATTATTGGAGTCTGTTGGCTTGGCAACCCGCCTCTCCACCCTCCCCATGCCATGTCCAGCCTATAGAGCTCGATAGCCAACATCCTCCTGACCACACGGAATGGACCATGAGCCTCTGTAGATGAAAACCCTCAGTCAATCGTCAATGTTCATGGTCTCATCTGAGGGCCCGAACCCAGCCCAGACCCTTGCCCTAGCAAGGAGCCATCCCTCTCCAAACGTTTCCTCTAACCCAGCCTATCGCCACCTGTCATCCTACTTCCTCAACTACCCTAACGACCATACAAGCATCCATTGCAAGAGGTGACACCTGCCCCACCCACTCTGACCCCCAGCGCCTTACCCCCCAACCTTTTTCTCTCTCTTCCCCTTTCATCATCTCCCCATCCTAATGCCCATGTGACATAGCCTCCTCCTTCTAGCCATATCACCAAACACGTGGCTCTATCCCCGATCTCTCAACCCTCATCTCCCTCAACTTTCCCGAAGGCAAGGTCATCCAAGGCTATCGCTCGATCCACATCTGCAACTTCGCCTCGCACACATATGGAACCCCCTCCCTTGTCTGCATGAGACAGCTGTCTCCATTCACCTTTCACGTCGTCTCACATCTCCCTCAATTCTCCGTCAAACTAGTCCCCCCCTCGGTGGCTCCCCTCGGCTCTAATTGGCCCACTCCTCCAGGCAGCCATCACACTAGTTGGCAACCTTGGAGGCTCCCCTCTCAACTCATCTAGCCCTCATCCCCTCGCGCTCTCCCCCATCTCTGCGGCAGCTCTCGGCAAGCACCCTCCATAAGACACTCACCGGAGATCCCCTTCTCTCCAACCCATGTCGTCAATTCAGACACCTTCCACTGAGCCACCTCTAGACCCTTCTTCGCCTCTCCTCATCGACCCATTAACCCCATACCTTCCACTCGCAGCAGCCCATCTCCTGCCCATCCCCACATCCTCCTGTTCCCAGCCTGCAATGTCAGCTTATTGGAACCTGCAGCCTTCTCCAGTTTCCTTTGCAGGTCCTTCCACTTCCCCAACTCCCTTAGCTCAACCAGCCCCTGTCCAAGTGCCGCTCCTGCCACACCCCTCACTCCCCTCTTTTACCTTATCTATACCACTGTGGGGATTCCTTCCCTCTACTACCTTCCCCTCCCCCTCCTCCCCCCCTTTTTCCTGCTTGACCCCATCGTTCACGCCCCCACCATCTGAACCCATTCCATCTTGCCTCCTCACCTCCCAGCGGTCCCCTATTTTGGCCACGTTAAGTGTTCTCCGATGGTGTGAAGTCAAACCCCAACTCTTCCCCCCTTCCTTCTCTCGAACTCATCCAGGCCCAATTCCCATCAGTCGGCTCAGCACCCCTGCCCCTTCCCTTTTTCTCAAACCTCTTCAAGCTTTCTCTCAGACGCTCTTTCCCATTCTCCCAAGTCAGTAGACTCCACTTTTGCTATCAACTTGGACTTAGCCCAAGGAATGTATCCCAAGTCCTCCGAATAACAGGCCTCTAGTTCAATGGACCAACAGAAGCACTCCAAGCTTTCCTCAGAACAGAAGTCTAACCCAGATCCAAAAAAAAGGGCTGAGGTAGGAGGGAGCTCGCCAACCTCACCTGCAACATTACCTACGACAAGCTTTCCAGAACCCCTCCCTCTTCGGGTCTCCTCGAGGGCCCGAACTCTCAGGGTAGCTCATCCACCTGGCACTCTTCAAGACGGGTCCTCTCCCTACACTCTCCCTCCCCATGATTATCATCCATTTTAAGGGATTTAGGCAACCCCTAAAGCATAGCATTGTTAGAGACTTCTATGTCTGTCATTCCCCCTCGATTTTAGCCCTCACAGTAACAAAGCAACCTCTGCCCTCCCTTCAACAAGTTAGACAAGTCTAGTGGTGTCAACCTTGCCAATGGGAAGCTCTTCCTACACAAGGAGCCTCGGGAGGCATGTGGGTCATTTGGGACCCTTCCCTACTATTTATCTCTCTCGGCCACTCAGATCGCCTCTTCTCGATAGCATCGCACTGTTGAGGATCTCAGATGGACTCTCGCTTAAATTACAGCAGTCTACGACCCTAACTCCAAAAGTTTCAGGGAGCTATTTTTGGAAGAGCTCAACCAAGCGACAACCATCCCCCCCTCCCATTGGTGCTTGGGTGGAGACTTTCAACATAACTAAATGGGTCCTTTGAAAGGAACTCTCCGAATTGAATTACTCCAGCAATGCTTCAGTTCTCTGACTTCATTTCCACCCAAAATCACATTGATATCCCGTTGAAAGGAGCAAGGTTCACATGGTCTAACCACTCTTCCTCCCCATCTCTTAGTAAGCTGGATCGTTTCATTCTTAGCCTCGACTAGGATGGTTCCTTCCCAGGATCCCATCGTAAGGCCCTTGCCAAGCCCACTTCGGACCATTGTCCAATCATTCTTAACATCCAACCTGTTACAAGGGACCCCAAACCTTTCCGATTCAAACTTGCCTAATTAGAAGAACCTAATTTCCTCCACCTAGTGCCACTTTCGTGGAACTCCATCCATCCCCTTGTCACGGGCAGGACGGGATTTCACCTTCAATGCAAGATCCAATAGTTTTAACATATCCTAAAAGAATTGAGCAAGCAACTCCCAGGTTATTTGCATTCTCGTTAAAGCACAATTCTTTAGGCTATTAAAGAGGTCAACATCATTAAAGAACATCACATTCTAATAGTGGAAGAACGACAGCATAAAGTTCGGCTCAAACTACATTATCACACCATCCTCAAACAGGAAGAGATGTATTGGTACCAACGCACTTGTCAAATGGTTAAATCTCGGGGATCTGAATACTGCTTTTTTTCACAAAATACCGAATTGTAGGAGGGAAAATTCTATCACCCACATTAAGATCGAAGAGGAAATATTGGGTCAACGAGCTGAGGTGGACGAGGCTATTCCTAACTTCTTCATAAAGTTCTTCACCGCCGCTTCAGGGCCTAGACCTATCTTGGGTGACATCTCCTTCCTCACCCTACCCAAAGAGAATGCTTACTGGCTCGAGCGCCCTTTCGAAGAGGAAGAAAGACTAAAGGTCATCCACAATTTGGGCCAAGATTGCTCCCTGCGCCCCAATAGCTTCCCAATAGCCATTTTCAATCACTTTAGGTTCTCAATTCGATCTTCTAGCCTTTTTTCACAAATTCCATGAGAGGGGAGTTCTACACAAAGCCCTCAATGTAATTTTTATCACTCTAATCCCCAAGGTGGAAGGACAGAAGAACCGAAGGACTTTCGACCAAAAAGTCTTATCAATAGCACTTACAAAATTCCCTCAAAGGTGCTGGCCTCTTGTCTCCGAGAGGTATTAGACATGGTAATCTCTCCACGGCAAGGCACTTTTGTCAAAGATAGTTAAATCTTGGATGGAGCCTTTAAAAGCAT